GCTAAAAAACACTGTAAATAGCACATTAGCCATCAGACAAATCACAAAAGTAAAATCTACATGTCAAGAATGTAGCCAAAAACGTGGAAATGAAGAAAAAAAAGATATGGTAGAGAGAGACTCATTCCCTACACGAAGGGACAAAACGCAAACCAAGGGAAATTTTTTTAATATTTTGCTAATTTTTAAGTAAGCCAAACGTGAGGAGTATCCTTTGGGGATGATTTAGTTGTCGACAATAATTTAATGATTTTGTTGGTTATATACATTGCATCTACAGATTTTTAAATTGAACTCGTACTTCCAATGTGGTTGAATGTGTCATCAACAATACATGTGACTATACTAATCTGATCCTACTTATAATAAGTAAATAATCTAGTACTGGTTGTTGACCAGTTTCTGAATATGGGAAAAGTCACAAACCTTGGTTCAAATCTTTTTTTTTTTTTAATTTATTCGTTCTAGTTAGTCTACCGATATGTATAGATTCTGGTCCAAAACTTTATGTATAAAAAGAACAAGAAAAACACATTGTATAGACCGTAAAAAATGGGTGCCAGAGACAACGGGTATATAGAGACTGTTTATGGAGAAATATGCCCTAAAGGAAGGGAACAAGAGTTGCCCATTTCCAGCTTTGCATTTACCCTTCTTTTCTTGCTTGCTCTCTACACATGCATAATGATGCATCCACTTCTTTGTATTTTAAAAAAATTATATTGGTGGAGATTAAAAGTGTATATTAAACGTTTTTTTTTTAAAACCGTGAGAGTTCCGAATCTTTATCTCATAATCTCTTCGGTATCCGGAAAAATATTCCGATTTAAAGAATAATTCTGTTCTAAAAAGGTTTTGAATCCGAACCACAAAAGAACCAGAAACTTTTGCTACCACTATGTTACCACTCTTTTGGTGTGTATATTAAACGTTGCATTAATGAATCGACTTATACTAGTAAATTGATACGTGACTAATCTATACTAGCAGTGTTTGGAGTAAAATACTTATAACTGTTCAAGCTCTCTCAAGTCCCTCAACTATAGGTATTCTTACATTTTTCAGATCTAGCAAAGTTATTGATAATAGTCAATAGACATGAAGTTTATAACTATTTGTCAAATATAGACTTTTATTCAATTTAGTACAATTAAACATGTGAAAATCGAAACAATCTTTTATTAAATGTATGCAAGTTCCAAATATTTGACAAGTAATGATCTCTAGATTTTCTTTACATTGTTTTTCTATGCAAATTGGTGATAAAGTAAGACCACACTACAAATCTAGAACAAAGTGGTAGGCTTCTTCCTTTCAATAGTGGTAGCCGGTAGAATCGTAGATGCTACATTTGTAATTTCCTACGATTTTATACACAAATAAAATAACCATTAAAGGCATTTCCTCAAAGTTTGAAAGCGATTAGCCGACAAAATAATTAGTTAAAAGGAAAGGCAAAAATGCGAAAAAGAAGAAAAGATTTTCAAACCATTTTTTTTTTGTGTGCAAGATTAATTTCGATCGAATGAAACTGTTGAGGAGAATTCAAACTAATCAAAATTCCGCATTACATTATGATAACGAATCTAAGCTTTCTCATATTAGATAGATATATTCGACAAGTATGTGTAAATGGACAAAAGTATAGATAGGATTTAATCAGTCATAATGAGAAATTCCTTACACTTAAAAAAGTCCCAAAGACATAAAGAACACCCAAGCATCTTTGAGCTTCGTTATGATAAATAAATAGTGAATGTCAAACGTTTCTTTGCAATTTAATTTATTAATTGAATGATCTATCTGCAGTTTTTCATAATTTGAAAATTAATCTTTACAACGATATGCAAGTTTTGTAAGTTCATTTTCTCTTAAACTTATAAAAAGTCAAACCATAACTTTGTGCATAATAATTAAAATATTAATAGGAAATTCGAGAAAGCTTTTAGGGAAAAAGAAGCGAGATTAAAGGAGATCTATAATTTGACGGCGTTAAGTCAACGTGCAATTAAAAACACCGTCATAGGT